ACAACCCACAGAGTAGGAGAAAATCTTCACAATCTATACATCTGACAAAGGACTAATACCCAGAATCTACAACAAACTCAAATCAGTAAGAAAAAAACAAGCCCATCAAAATGTGGGCTCAGGACATGAAGAGACACTCAAAAGAAAATATACAAATGGCCGAGAAACATATGAAAAAATGCTCAACATCACTAACGATCAGAGAAATACAAATCAAAACCACAATGTGATACCACATTATTCCTGCAAGAATGGCCATAATCAAAAAATCAAAAACAGTAGATGCTGGTATGGTTGCAGTGAACAGGGAACACTTCTACACTGCTGGTGGGAATGTAAACTAGTACAGTCTCTATGGAAAACGGTGTGGAGATTCCTCAAAGATCTAAAAGTAGAACTACCATTGGATCCAGCAATCCCACTACTGGATATTTACCCAGAGGAAAAGAAGTCTTATTCAAAAAAGATACTTGCACATGCTTTTTTTTTTTTTTTTGAGACAGTGTCACTCTGTTGCCCAGGCTAGAGTGCAGTGGCACAATCTCAATTCACTGAAACCTCCACCTCCCAAGTTTAAGCAATTCTCTGCCTCAGCCTCCTGAGTAGCTGGGATTACAGGCACCACCACACCCAGCTAATTTTTGTATTTTTAGTAGAGACAAGGTTTCACCATCTTGGCCAGGCTGGTCTTGAAGTCCTGACCTCATGATACACCTGCCTCAGTCTTCCAAAGTGCTGGGATTACAGGCATGAGTCACTGTGCCCTGCCACACACACATTTTTATAACAGCAGAATTCACAATTGCAAAATCGTGGAACCAACCCAAATGCCCATTAACCAACAAGTGGATAAAGAAACTGTGGTATATATATATACAATGGAATATTATACAGCCATAAAAAAATGAATTAACAGCATTTGCAGTGACCTGGATGAGATTGGAGACTATTATTCTAAGTGAAGTAACTCAGGAATGGAAAACCAAACATTGTATGTTCTTACTGATATGTGGGCGCTAAGCTATGAGGACGCAAAGGCATAAGAATGATGCAATAGACTTTAGGGGCTTGGGGAGAGAGTGGGAGGGGAGCAAGGGATAGAAGACTACAAATATGGTGCAGTGTGTTCTGCTTGGGTGATAGTGCACCAAAACCTCACAAATGACCGCTGAAGAACTTACTCATGTAATGAAATACCACCTGTACCCCAATAACTTATGGTAAAATTAAAAAATAAAAAATAAACACATTTCCAAGAGTAAGGAGATGCTGAGAGTTAGTTTATGCACCAGAGTCAATTTCTCTGCACCACTCCTCACAAGCCTAGGAAATAAGCTTAGAACATACATTCCTCAGCTCCACAACAATCTCTTGGAATTTCCCTTCCAGGTTCTGCTTTTTCTCCCTCAGTCTCTTCTGTGGTAAGCTGTCATTTAAGCTACAGCAAAACCTTATCTTTCTAGAGATTACACAGGAAGCCAGAGAAAAGTTCAGTCTCCCAACCTTGCATAGAGCCACCTCCAGGAAAGACGGAAGAAATGCTCACCAATGGTGATAGTCTGATGATAAACCTGAAGACTTCTCCAAGCAGGAATGACTTGTAAGAAGCATTCCAAAAAGGTTCTCTGTTCTAGTGGAAAACGTTTGGTTCTGGTTCAAAGAAACCCAGCACGTGCTACTTATTAGCTCTGTGACCTTGGGCAAGTTATTTGACCTCTCTGAGCTTCTATTTCATCATCTATAAAATGCTAATGGTAAAATGACAATGACAATGCTTACTAGCATAGTTAACACAATAACTAAGAAGTATCAATATAAAGGATTCTGCTTATAGTAAGAGATCCATAAATGGTAACAATATATTTATTTATTTATTTATTTATTTTCCAAACACAGTACCTTGCACAAAAGTTAATAAATATTTGTGGAAAGGAGGAAAGGAGAAAGGACGAGGGAAGGGGGAAAAGACTTGAAAAAGATTCAAGTTTTGCACAATATAAATCCTGATAGAATTTTTCCTCTTTTTCACTAATAAATTATCTGATTATAACACAGATCTATTGAGGAAACTGTTTGAATACCATGGACTATTAGCACACAGATCCTGCAGATCAGAGCCCTCCGGTGGCCAAGCTTTGCTACCTGTTAGGACAATTATGCCCACCTTGTCTCTTACAGCTGCATGTCACCGCCTAATCCCTGCTGTCCTAGATGCCTATTACCTACACTGACACCAGGAAGCCCAGTTCCACAGCAGCTTCCCCTGGCATCAACCTCAGCCTAGACAGGACAGTGACCACGAGCTTTTCTGAGACGCGCCCCTCACTAGTCATTCTTTGTTGCTTTAGTAAAAGAAGTGGCCACTAAACTCTCCATACAGACACAGCCAACTGGCAAGTTCTCTGGTCTTATGTAATAAATCCATTCTGCCAGGCCCACTTCTCTATGCCTTTTGTTCCTCAGTACTCTGCCATGACAGTTCCGGCATCTTCTTTTCATTAATGCAAGCCACCATTTTCCCTGCTCTTGAAGGACACATCCCAACAGCACACAGGGACCAGATCTAGGTGTCCTTAGGATTACATTAAATTCTGAGAATGCCCAGGTATCAATGAAATCTTCTTATCCAGTCTTATATTCTGCCACCCCACCCCCTATATCCCTGTCTGAAACCCTCAAGATCCTTGCTAAGCACACTCCACCAATTCCTCCTGGTTAACATTGTCAAATTCTGAAGCTGCTTCGGGGAGATGCTTGTTCCTCCCACCACAGAGCAAGTTCTTCCCCAGCCTGATCATCCTGAGACTTGGCCGTAATTAACCAACCAGAATAATACGGGGTTGTGGGCAGTATTTGAGGAGGGCAAGTATCATCACGTAAAGCATCCTCCTCGGCATGGTATCCAGCCAAGGGGAGTCTGCTCTCCACTAGCAAGGAGAAGCCAGGAGATTCCTCTGCAGAGAAACCTCAAGTCCATCATCCACCTAACTGTTCCCACTCTAGGTCTCCATGTCCCACCTTTTCCCCATTACAACCTTCACTTAAGTATCGGAGACTTGCCAGAGTGGTAAATTCAGCTCTTTTATTAATTCAGCTGCTCTCCCAATTAGATATTAGGCCTAATGTTCAGCACAGTCTGCCCTTCAGCTGCGTTCAAAAACAGTCTCTTCAAATCAGCTTTCATACATGCCCTGAGGGCTTTGATTCCACTTCATGACCAACCAACTCCCACAGTCCTTATAATTACCATTGTCTTCATATCTCCCAAATGTTATTGTATTAGCCAGTGCGTGCCTTCCATGCGTATTCCATATTAATTCACTACAAGGCAGTCAGTACCGTCATGAACTGCACAACGTTTTGGTCAATGGCAGACCGCACATATGATGGAGGTCCCATAAGATTTTATTTTTTCTGTACTTGTTCTATGTTTAGATACACAAATACTTACCATTATTTTGCAGTTGCCTACAGCATTCAGTATAGTAATCTGCTGTACAGATTTGTAGCCCAGGAGCAATAGGCTAGGCTATACTAGGCTATACCGTCTAGGTTTGTGTAATTGCACTGTGATGTTCTTACAATGACAAAACGGCCTAATGTGTTTCTCAGAATGTATCCTCCTCATGAAGTGACCCATGACTGTAATTGTGGTGCTACAGCATGTCTTATTGCTCTCACAGCAAACATTACTGCTTCCTGCATTAAAGCTGAGCCTCCCAAAAGGCAGCTAAGCTGGAATTTATCCATTTGGCCCCTTAAATCCACTCTTACATTTCTTTACCTTGATGCCTAGGAGGCCAACATTTATGGACTGAATCAATGGGTTTTCTCACTCTCTGTTTTCCCATTTGATTCCCATGTGGTTTTCTTCTTTCTTTTTTTTTTTTTCTTTTTTTTAGAGATGGGGTCTTGCTCCGTCATTCAGGCTGGAATGCAGAGGCACGGTCACAGCTCCCTTGCAGTCTTGACCTCCCAGTCTCAAGCGATCCTCCCATCTCAGCCCTCCAAGTAGTTGGGACTACAGGTGCACACCACCACACCTGGCTAATCATTTTATTTTTTGAAGAGACAGGGTCTTACCATGTTGCCCAAGCTAGTCTCAAACTCCTGGCCTCAAGTAGTTCTTCCACCTCAGCCTCCCAAAGTGCTGGGATTATGGGCATGAGTCACCACACCTGGCTTGATTCCCATTTCATCCAACAGAAGACCAGTGGATGGGAGGAGAGTGAGGATGGGTATCTGCTCCCCCAGCTCCCTCCCTACCAGGTCTCAGCTTGGGAAGGGCTGCATCCTCCTACCAAAGGCCGCAGCTCCTGTCAAGGATCTCACGCCTACAGTTCTCTCTGGGGTCTGACAATGACTCCCTCACCTTGTTCCTTCAGCCTGGGGTTGTCCATTGCTGCTGAACCAGATCTGTTTCACCTCCCTTGTTGGTTTCCTTAATTCTACTCACACATTTATAAATCATCTCTTCAGTATCCCACGACAACAGATCACTGGTTTCCTTAATCATGCTGTGGTCATCTTTCCTCAAATCCTGCCAAGTCCTTTGTGCCTCAGAAAATTCTGAGGAAAGTCTTCAGGGGTAGGTTGAAAACACTTGACTGGCAGCACCCAGGATTCATCCCTAATTATCACCCACTTTTCCAGCAGAGACCCCAAGTACTTGCCTTCCTTTTATGTTAGAGTGACTTCCTTTCCTACCAACACATCTGCTAAAGATTGGGTGGATTTTGCTCCTGCCCTTTTTTCCCAAAGTTCACCCCACTTCCCAGTACTCAACTGTCAATCTCAACATTTCCTTTACTGTGTTTAGGGGGACTCACTGAATCCTTATTCAAGGTGGACTCCTGGCTCCCAGCCGTGGTATTCATGGGTGTGTCTATGCAGTTTGTGCCATCTTTGGGACTCATGCTACCCAAGGTCATCTGTCTGTGTCCCTTACTAAACATCACATGCCAAATTCATGATTAAGTAAAAATAATCCTGTCGTTTAGTTGAGGTGTGCTTCTTACTGTTATTCCAAGTGTACTAAAAATTAATAAGACTTTCTTGAAAGTTTTCATGAATTCAAAAGACAGAGGACACGCATCAATATAGGTTTTCTTGGGACATTATGAAAAAGGAACCAGGTTAAATTCAACCCCAAAAATGCCAGAATTAAAGACATTTGCATAACATTAGAGTTTTGGGTTGTTTTTTTTGTTTGTTTTTTTTTTAATCACGGAATTAGCTAATTAGAGAGGGCAGGAGCTAGAAAATCACAGACATTTTCCTCTGAGCCAGCAACGCAGTTTTATCCCTAAACACATGTAAAATTTCTGAGCTTAATAAGTCACAATTTAAATTTAAAATATGATAAATGAGGAAGAATACTTGTACGTGACCATTTTGCCATAGCTGTGGGAGAACATCACACCCTAAAACATGAGTTTACTTTCATAAGTTTTTAAGGCTAAATGATAGCTACCAGCTACATATTTTATTTCTGAGTTTGTTTGTTTTTTAATCACAACATAGCCTCTTTATTAAGGATCTTAAGGGAGTTTAGGGAATTTTGCTAGGGAAAAGAGTTATCCAAATCCAAACATCTTTTCATTGAAGCTACTCTCTTTTTTTTTTTTATCTGAGCACTTTCTATTTCTTGTGTAGATAATTGCTCAGTTAAAAGGGGTAAGGGAGCATTTTCCCTAAAGAAGCTTGCAGTTGGAACTCCTCTGAGGTAAGGAAGACCAGTGCATGGGTTTCATTCATTTATAGCCCTTTAATCCTAAATCCGGTTGGAGTCAGTGGTTAAACAGAACATGAGAATTTAAAGACTTTCACTTTCCAGCCCCATTTCCTAATTACACCCAGTATGTTTAAATCATGAGCATATTATGAGTCCAAATTGGGCAAGGATTGTGATACACAAATTATGTTCCAAGAATCAAGGCAAAGAAAAATTAATTTGCCGGTATATGAACTGGAGAAATTATTTTGGTGAAGACACAAATATTGTTTTGCACTTTTAACATAAGTAGGCTGCATCTGTGCCTTTTGCCTGAGCTGGACCTAAGGGGTGACAGGTAACCTCCTCCATGGGTATGGTCGAAATTAAACAGCCTTGCATCCAGGAAGTATAACTGCTTGTGCTGCTCACACAGGTGGGTCTGTGAGACTCAGGCCACTGGCTGGGCTCCGCAGACCGTGCCGGCCTCAGATGGTCTCACACTCCGTGGTGGCAGTGGAGCAGGCTCCGCAGTCACAGCGGATGGCCACGGGATAGGTGTAGAAGGGATCAACTCCCGGGGCACAGTTGGGCAGCTTGACGGTCACCTGTTTGGTCTCGTTGTAGGTACAGACTCGATGATGGGCTTCAATGTAGGGGGGTTCCAGAATGGGTTTCTGTCCCCACAGATAGAAAACAGGGAATTCATTAGAACATATGATCCTGTTTCAATGTTTTAGTATCATTTATCACTCTCAGAAATTAACTTGTTATTCATTGGTTTACTTGTTGCTCTGTCGTCTGCCAGTAGAAAACAAACTCCTGAAAGCAAGAAGCTGATTTCATTCAAGACCATATCCTAAGCTCCCAGGAGAGACCATGGCACACAGCAAGTGCTCCATACGTAGTCAGCAAATGAGTCGTCCTGGTCATTGCAAATGCCTTCTAACTGGCCTCCCATCCTCCTTTATTACTCCCTGCAATCTATTTGCAACACAGTGGCCCTGAGCGATCCTTTTTAAATGTAAGTCCCATCAAGTTACTCTACGGCCCAAAGCCCCAGTGATTTCCCGTCTCACACAGAGCAAAAATCAAAGACCTTACGATCACCTTCAAGACCTCCATCACCTTCTCTGCACCTCTGCCTTCTGAAATGCCTGCAACCATCCCCACCTCACGGACCTGACTAGCTCAAAGAGGTCTCCTTATTGCTCCTCAGATCCACCATGAACCGTCCCAGCTCAGGGCCTTTGCGCTTACTGTTCCTTCTGCCTGGAACATTCTTCTCCCGTATGATTCACTCCTTCACCAATCTTTGGTTTTTGTTAGAACGTCACCTTCTCAGGGAAGCATTTTCTGACCATCCTGTTTAAAATTGCAACATTCCATCTCCATGCCCTGAAGCTTCCCATCCCCTACCCTGTTTTTCTTTTCACCATAACACTGGTCAATAGCGCATGGCATCATCTATCTTTCACTCATTCATGTGATATTCCTCCCACTCCAGAAAGGAAGCCCTTTTAGGACAGATTTTTGCCTGCTGCACTTCCAGTACCTAAGACAGACCCTGGGATGGTTTCAATAACAATTTGTCATTGAACCAATAAAAGAAAACATTATAAGAGAGGTTCCTGAATACTCTGTGCACTGTTCCGATCATCGAAAGATTCATTTCCTTCCTTCACCTTTTATAAATCTTAAGTTCAAAGATAATTTTGATAAACAGAACACATAGATCAGACACAGAATCAGCACAAAGCAGGAGTTAAAATCTCGAGCACTGCAGTCAGAACTATGGAGCTTGAGTCCCTGTTCTGCCACTTGCTGGAGACCTTGGAAAATCCACTTAACTTCCTGAAGACTCAGTTTCTTCCTCTGTAAAACAAAATATCTACCTCCCACCATTGTTTGGGAGATAAGGTAAGACGATATACTCAATGCACAAAGCCTAGCACAAAGTAAGTGATCAATAAATGTAATCCATTGTTCTTATTAAAGCAATCACTATATGGAAGTAATCATGAAAATAATAACAAGCTTTCAAATAACAATACCTTTGCTTTTTTGTTCTTCTTTGTTCTAGGCAAAAAAGAACATATATATATATATGTAGCTCAAGTGAAGCTTTCATGAATGTCATGAAAATAGGAGCCTTGCCTTTTTTTTTTTTTTTTTTTCTTTTTGAGACGGGGTCTCACTCTGTTGCCCAGGCTGGAGTGCAGTGGTGTGATCTCGGCTCACTGCAACCACTCCCTCCTGGATTCAAGCGATTCTTCTGCCTCAGCCTCCAAGTAGCTGGGTCTACAGGCACACGCCACCATGCCCAGCTAATTTTTGTATTTTTAGTACAGATGGGGTTTTACCATATTGGCCAGGCTGGCCTTGAACTCCTGACCTCATGATCCACCCGCCTCGGCCTCCCAAAGTGCTAGGATTACAGGTGTGAGCCACTGTGCCCAGCCTGCCTTGCCTTTGACAAGGACCAGAAGAGCTTAATTTGTCCTCAACGGTTTTCTCCTACCTTGCCATGTTTGCTTTATGTCCTCTTACCATTAGTACTCTGGGAACCTAGACAGACCAGACACCCCATAAAATTTAAATTTCAGATACATAATTTTTTAGTATAAGTCTGTCCCAAATACTATATGAGACAGAAAGGCTTATGCTAAAAATTTATTTATTGTTTTTCTGAAATTCAAATTTACCTGGTCTTCCTGGTTTTCTGGTTTTGTTTCCGTTTGGGTTTTTGTGGGGAGGGGATTGGTTGTTTTGTTTTATTTCGTTTGTCTGTTCGCTAAATCTGGCAACTCTATACCCAGATTATGAGGAATAGCTATTTTCAACTAACGTTCCACCTTCAAAGTAAATCCAGCCAGTCTGTCGTCATGAACATACTTACTTTCAAACATGCTTTCAGTTAAGTTCCCCCTACCCCACAAGAAAATCAAGTGCTGGGAAAATGAACCTCATTGTTTTATTTGCTTTCTATAGGTAACCTCCCTTTTCATAACACAGTCAAGACATGAATGAAAGTGGCTAAGATTAGGGAGAATCTTGTTCTTTAATGGTTTTGGTGCTTCTATCTTTCCAGTGAGAGCACAGGTCCTGACCTCCTATGGGTGACCATGCTCTGATTAAAGACATTCATCAGTTTTTAAAAAGAAGAGAAGATGGGCTGAATTGAGGGGAAGCAGGAGTTTGAGGATTCGGCACAGAGAGGGCTTCAAATAGTTCAGATACTAGATGCAAACAGGGAGAGGCCCTGCCAGGCCAGTCCCTGAACAGGAGGCGCTGAGTGCCCCAAGTGAGTTTGCTGCCAACTGACAGGCAAAGTCTACTTAGCAAAACCCGATTTTTATGTGGCTAGTGGGGCTCAAGCCCCTGAATGAGGCAAAAAGAAAACTACTTTGATGGAGCAGTTTCATTCAATTTGGAGCTTTCATCTCTTTAACCCAATTCCATTCATAGTGCCGTAACTGTACCTAAGCAAGAGCAAGTTACCCTCTGGGTCCCTGAAGGGAAAGCTATTTTTCCCAATGGCAGTGTCCTCACAGAGCACGTGTGTTTCTAAGTGGCCTTCATTCGGCTAGAGGATCTACAGCTCCAGGGAGAGGTCCATCCCATTCAACCGACACATAGGTATTGAATGCCTTATTCATACATGACACTTTGACAAAAACTGTGAAGGTTGTAAGAATGAACCTCTGTCCTCAAAAACTTTAAAACCTTTAAAACACGTGTGTGGTGGGGGAGGAAGTAAGACCAAAAAATAGAGCATAGTCAAGGGCTTACCTGCGAGTCAACAAAGGCCCGGAAAGGGAGCTAGCCCTGCAGATGGGCATCAGGAATAAATACGGTAATGGCAGATGGGACGCAGAAGGGATAGAGGAAAGGACCAAAATGAGATCCATGAGGGCTATTGGATAAAACCTTTGAAAGTCACTTACCAAGGCCAGAGATAAGAAAATGTGTTGTCTCCTGGAAAGCAGGCGGACGCCGTATTGCTGAGGACTTTGAAAGTTGGTTATTAAATCTGCAGTAGTGTGTGGACATTCAGGGTTTTTCGGCCAGTGAGTGATAAGATCAGAGCTAGCATTTCATCAGTTACCAAGTGGGTGGGCCTCAGCGGGAAGAGCCGACAGTCACTATGGGATGTGACTTGCCGGGGTGCTGAACAGCTCTCTTCCTCTTCACCACTCATGTAGCTTCTCTTAGCCCAATAGGATTTTAACTTTGTTGAGACTGTTAGCACCACTTTAAATTAAATGTCTCCAAAAAGGCTAGGTATAATTGAATATAAAGGAACTTAATGGATCATTCAGAGATAACCCCAGAGGGCCCCCAGGGACTTGAGGAGGAACAGGCTGCAGAAGAGGCCGTGAAGGGGTCTAGGACCAACTCTTACCCTTCAGCTCAGGGCCTCTTTCTTGGAAACTGGCTGATTTATCCAAAATGAGAGAATATAGGGAGGAGTTTAGGTCACAAGCTTGAACCACAATTTGATTCCCAGCTTTAAACTGACGCTCTACGTGACTTTGCAACCACTCTCCCTGGAATCCCTCCATCTCATCTGTAAAATGGATAGAATAGTATGTCTTGACCTCCCAGAGATGATTCCCAAATACACAGACACAACGGAAACCAGATTCTATAAATGCTTTGTTAGAGGGGCAACATCATGTTTTTCAAATCACTTTTGGAAGATGCCGATCATAGTTTTGGTTTGGTTTTGTATAGCCACAGGAAGGGGCAGATGTCCCAGCTCTACCTCATATCATTTAAAAAGTGAACTCTTAAGAATCAGACCCAAGCTGTTGGCCCAGAAGACACTGTCATCTGCACATCTTAGCAACTCACCTCCCAGGTCTCACAGCGACCCCAGCAGGCATCCGTGGTGATCCGGAGGCCCTTGCAGCCTGGCTTCTTGGCCAGGAAAGTGAACTCCCTCACGGCACAGCCCACAAAGGTGCGCAGGTTCCCACTGGAGGTGCCGAGGACACAGCCACAGCCAGCCAGAAGGAGGAGGGCCATGGGGCCAAGGAAGAGGATTGCCAGCTTCATGCCGCTCTTCCGAAGAGGGAAAGGAGAGAGTTTAACAGACCCAGTGGCCTTCAGTGGGGCAGCCAACCATGCATTGGTCACTATCAAAGGGACCTTGCTCCTAGCATTTCAGGGAAGATGAGCCCAGAAATTGTAAATGCCCACAAACTGCAGCACAGTTATCCAGAGATGCCTGTAACTAATGCCAGTGTGGCTTCCACAGCCCTCTCTAGATGCCCACCCTCTGAGAGCATTCTCAGGGTTTTCCTTATTGTAACTTAACTGCTGCAGTTGACTTGTGTGTTAAAGAAGTCTGCCCCAACAGTCTTTCCAAAATAAACATAAAATAGGAGTAAAACCAAAAGTAATCCATAACCCAATAGAATACATGAATACATATAAATTATTTGTATTCAGGTCCAGGGTATTTGGGTGCCGTGTTACATACTTTGCTCAAAACCATATTTTCAGCATCATGATGGGGAATGATTTGGGGGAGAGGTTGATAAGTATTAATAATAGTACTCCCTTTGCATTGTTACTAAACCAACTCACCACTAAACACAGATATGCAGAAGATATCATGAAACCTATCACCTAAGGTGGTGGCCATTCATAAATGTATCCTACTCACTATAAATTGCTTCTGCTCTAGACTTCTATTTGTATTACCTACTTATAATTCAGTTTAAATCCAAATGATGGAAAGCATAGGAGTTATTTAACACATAACCTCAACCCACTGTCAAGTTTAACCTCTGGGTCTTGGTCATTCCCTGTGCTCTTTCAGAAGCCAAAATCACCCCCCTTCATGCTTAACCCAGTAGACAGAACTCACCTGGATTCTGAAGTATAAAGGATATGGCATTCATGGACCCTGACCCCCCACTGAACTCATTATTCTCACAGTTCCTACTTCTGACCTTACAAGTTCTCTGGGTTTCCCCTCCTCTGGAATGAGGTTACAGATACAGAGAAGCACTTACCTAATCTTGCAGGAGCCAACTCTTCTTTTAGAGGTGAAACTTGCGTTAAGATTTCAGGAAGTCACAATGAATGGTAGAGGTTTGCTCTGGGTAAATGTCTCTACCTTCTGTTACTGGGCTGCGTAATTGCTCAAATATATAGGAAAGGTCTTGTCAATCAAAACAAACGAGAGGCAGATCCTTACAGGAACTACTAAACACATCAAAGCCATGGAATATAAAGCCAGTCTCTATTTTCCAAAACTGATTAACTTAAAGGGTGTTGTTTTGTTTCTCAACATCACCTACTGAAACAGAAAGTTACCTTGGTGGGTGGCATAATCCTAGGGAAACAGAGGTAGTTCCACCTGGCTCTCAGGAGAACAAATGCATTGCGGCAGATGGATTAAATTTTCCTTCATGGTAACCACGACTTTCCTTTGAAACAGGGGTAAGTGACTAGCAGCTCATAGAAAACTCTTTCCTTTAACCCAGAACGTGTTTCAATACACTGAAAAATAACAGAAGCATAATTCTTGCTGGCAGGAATGCAGAATCACTAACTGAAAAATGGAAATCACAGTGAGAAGAACCATGTTGAAAGTCTTAAAATTAGCTAAGAATTAGATAATATTAATAACACCTTAAAATGAATCATTTAGGAAAAAAATACCAAGATGTTCCAAGTGATTATCTTCCGGCATAGGAATTAAAGAAAACTTTTCATTTCTTTTATATGGTTTTCAGCATTTTTCACATTTTCTACATTGGGCAGGCTTTTGTAATACAAAGTCAGTCAATATCAATATTTTTAAAGTAAACCAATAGGTATGCATTTGTATAGAGTGTAAGGACATTCAGTGCTGCTCTGATAGAGACGTTTCATCAGATTTTTGGTCTTTAATTATTAAAATAAGAATAAAGGTTAGGCATGATGTAATCATATCTGTAATCCCAGCACTCTGGGAGGCCAAGGCGGGTGGATTACCTGAGGTCAGGAGTTCGAGATCAGCCTGACCAACATGGAGAAACCCCCTCTCTACTAAAAACATAAAATTAGCTGAGCATGGGGGCACGCGCCTGTAATCTCAGCTACTCAGGAGGTTGAGGCAGGAGAATTGCTTGAACCCAGGAGGTGGAAGTTGTGGTGAGCCGAGACTGCACAATTGCACTCCAGCCTGGGCAAGAAGAGCAAAACTCCCTCTCAAATAATAATAATAATAATTAATAAATAAAATATTTTATGAGTATGGGATATAGTTTATATTTCAATCTACAATAACAGTATATGAGTGGATTAAAAATATACTTGTTCATGGCATTTTTCTGAGTGCTCTAAAAAATAAATGAAGCAGACATCATTTTTGCCCTTAGGACTTTCGACATCATAGTAAATAATGACATAGGCAGAGACATTTAAGATGCACACTAACTAGTGAAACTGTATAAAGAAGTTAAACCATTTCCATTTCCTGCAAAGAAAGGTATTCTTTAATGTACAGCTCATTATAGATTTCATTTTCAAAACAGATAACAATGCCCAGTGAGTCCATCAATTTACCACGCCTCTCTTTAGAGCAGAATTATTATATGTGTTTTATAGAAAATTGAACTAGGCTTGGAATAAAGGACTTTCTTCAGCCCTTCAGCCTGTGAGTAGCATAACCAGAACCAGAGTATTCTGGGGAGGGACGCTTAACGGGCCTGATCTTCCTAACTTGCTAGCCAAGAGCTAGCCAGTCGCGGTGAGCTGCCATCCTGAGCTGTTTCTGAAGATGGCTGCTCAACCCTTTTAGACCTGAAACACATGCTGGTGTCTGCAGTGTCACAAAATACAGACAGACTACAAAGGCCAAGAGCATCTTTCTTTCACAATCTCCAAATTCTTTATAATGCAGAGCTGTGGCATCATGCATTCTACCCTGTCAGCCTTAACTTTATAAGAATGACCATTCATGGCGATCATTAAAAAATCTGGAGACAACAGATGCTGGAGAGGACGTGGAGAAATAGAAACACTTTTACACTGTTGGTGGGAGTGTAAACTAGTTCAACCATTGTGGAAGACAGTGTGGCGATTCCTCAAGGACCTAGAAATAGAAATTCCATTTGACCCAGCAATCCCATTACTGGGTATATATCCAAAGGATTATAAATCATTCTGCTATAAGGACACATGCACAAGAATGTTCATTGCAGCACAGTTTACAATAGCAAAGACCTGGAACCAACACAAATGCCCATCGATGATAGACTGGACAGGGAAAATGTGGCACACATATGCCATGGAATATTATGCAGCCATCAAAAACAATGAGTTCGTGTCCTTTGCAGGGACATGGATGAACCTGGAAACCATCATTCTCAGCAAACTGACACAAGAGCAGAAAATCAAACACCACATGTTCTCACTCATAGGCCGGTGTTGAACAATGAGAACACATGGGCACAGGGAGGGGAGCACTACACACTGGGGTCTGTTGGGGGGAAATAGGGGAGGGACAGTGGGGAGTGGGAAGTTGGAGAGAGATAGCATGGGGAGAAATGCCAGATATAGGTCATGGGGAGGAAGGCAGCAAATCACACTGCCATGTGTGTACCTATGCAACAATCTTGTATGTTCTTCACATGTACCCCAAAACCTAAAATGCAATTTAAAAAATTAAAATTAAAATTAAAAAAAGAAGAATGATCATTCATAATCACGAAGCATCTACTGTGTACCAGGTACCATGAAATCTGCTGTGCTCTTACATATGTTATCTCTAGACCTCACAGCAATTCTTTAAGTCAGTTATTCTTTTCTCCGTTTTACATTGGAAGAAATAGAAACTCAATTGTTTTGTAACCTGTCTACTTCCAAAGCTTTCAACAACACCGGGAATAGCAAATGGTCTATTCATCCTCGTAACCAACTACCATTAATGGGAAGCAGCTACCAGGAATGCTGTTTTAGAGAAGGCCACTGAAATCATTCTAAGGACAGAGGACAGTGGCCCATCAGCTTCATTCTGGGTGTAGGAAAGGAGAATGGTGTATGGATGCCACCTTTTGCAATCTAGGCCATGTCGCACCTCTCTATGGGAAGAGTGAGAGGTTGTAGCATGACTTCAAAGGCTAATTAATGCCCTGCTACCTACAGAACGTCTCGGCACCACAGACCATGCGTGTGCCCGCTACCTTCCCTTCAATCTACATTGAAGTTCCCACCATGAAAGTCACTCTCTTGCGGTAGCAAACAAACATATGAGTGATGTCTCCAAGGACAGGCTTTGGAGAATCTTCTCTCCTTTTATTCCATGATCATCTTTACATGGATTTATTGTCATCTTGGTGGATGAGGCACAAACTATAGGTTCCCTAGGGGTAAAAAGAAAGGAGAAGTGGTGAACCTGAGCAGTCATCTTGAGTTCTAGGAGGAGCATGAGTCCAGAGGAATGAGCCAAGTGTAAGTGACTCAAATGAGTGATTGAGAAACTGAGGCCTGCCCCAGGGAAGGCAGCCCCAGGTGGGAACATCCTGGGGTGCACACAGTGTGCAGGAGATGGAGACACTGACAGAGCCTGGAAACACACCCTTCCCTCCCACAGCCATGTTGATTCTCAGTGGCACAATCTCCTTTGGGACTATCTTGAGCAAGTCACTTCTCTGAGCCTCAGTTTCTTCACCTGTAACACAGTGGGGTTGCACCCTGTGACTCCTAAGGCCCTTCCCAGCTCCAGAATTTAAAGATTTATAAACTATTTTCTGAGTACAAGAAGCTGAGGACAAGTCAGAGGGAAGGTGCAGAAGGTTACACAACCATAAAGTTGGCCACGTTGGTGCTGAAATCTTGATGCTGACATTCATCTGCTTATGATCTTGGACAAGTCTAGTAACCCATCTGGATCTCAGCTTCCTACAAAATTGAAAATGCCTCCATCGTAGGGGTTATGTGAGGATACTACAAAATAATATCTATGAATTACTTATCACAGGGCTTGATACATGATAAGCAGGCAATAATTGTTTTCTCTTTCCTTCCCTGGAAATGCATCATTATCATGTGTACCACCGAGAAATAAAAAGCTGCCAATAAAAAATTATATCACACCAGCAATTATTAGACATATCCTGATTTCAAAAATATTAGATATGAAAAAACAAAATTTGAGTCTGAGAAGAGAAGCAAAGTCTTTGGGGACTACGAGACCTCACCAGCCTTATGAAACCAGAACATGGGTAAGCACCAACCTTGCTTTCCCAGCCAACACGGGGTGCTTTAATCTGACACTAAAATTAACAACATGTTTTCAGATTTTAATTTTTAGGTTTCATTTTTAAAGTCCAAATCTCACATTTTGAGGGTGGAAGCTTTATCACCATTGTAAATTTCAATATACTAATAAATCTTCATAAACACTCAATTTCAGTTCTGACCAAATATGGAGTCAAACCAACTAAGCCGACCAGTGCTCACTGAGCCCCCACTGTCTTGCCCAGGAATGAAATGAGGGCCCACAGGAGCTAAGCTGTTGGCTGCATCACTTTACACGACTCCTAAGAGTTTAGAAAAGATGTACATGCTCTAATATGTTTTTCACCACTGGCTCCTCAAAATACACAAAGCTCTGCCCAAGGGTCAAATTAATTAGCATTATGCTTCCCGAGGGTGAAAAAAAAAAAAAAAAAAGCCTCAAATGAAGCTATGAGTTTCAAGGAACTAATAGAATTAATGATAAAAGAAAGGTCAGCCTTGAACCTTATAAAGTGGTATGTTGCTTTTAATACTGCTTCTTTTCCACAGGGGAGCAGGGAGGAAATCTGGGCATACAAATGAAGATGAATAGTGAAGACTTGGAACAAATACATTTTGTTGAAAAGTCATCTCTTCCTTTCAAAGCATGGAGTATTTGTGGGTCAGCTCTTCATGTTATTGACTTAAAGAGATAACATTTGCCCGAGATGATGGTGCAGTTGCTATGGTAACATTTTTTTAACAAGACCAAAAATAATGACTCCTGTGTCTGATTTACTAGGACAAGTCAAGCCTTTCTCCATAACTGTCTGAAAGAAGTATCTGTCAGTTGCCACAGATTTATTTCAAATTAAGGGGCACATGGTTTAGGCGCTGAAGTGAAATGTTTTTACTTCCGCCTGACTCTTCCACTTTTGAATGTCATAGCTTTATAGGGCATGGCAGACACATGCCTAATAGAGAGGAACAGAGCAGAGTTGAATGAGTCACAAAGAAACATTCTTTATTTCAAGTGCATCCTGTATTCTCATTGGAATGAGTCCACAAAGCTGCTGGGTCCCCAAACCCTTCGTTTGTAATTCCCAGGCAGTCACACAGGCAAGGCCAAGGTTGTTGTTAGCTAAGCTTTGAAGCAACAGCACCTCATTTGTTAGCATTTCACTTTGCTCCAGAAAAGAGTCCTAGGTTCCTGGCCACTGAGTATGCACACGTGTGTCTGTGTGTGTCCATCCCTACGCTCCAGTGATGGGAGGATAGAGAAGGGGAGAGGAGAGCTGTTCTACTCGCCACAGTGTTTGTTTTATCATTTAACAAACTTAACAGGTATTAAGCAACTTCTGTCTCACACTGGGGTCACTGGGTTCATGATGTTGG